CTTTCTGGTCGATACTCCAGTTTTGAAATTTCACCTTTTTAATCTCCTCAGAAATTAGTACACTAACTTGGAATGAATCAATCAGAATTAAGCATTGTATGTCTCATTTAGAAAGTTCATACATATATCTGAGGTACAGAGGAGCAACCGCGTAATATTCATAAACTCCCGACAGGCAGCCAGAAGTATAATATGCTTTATGATTTATCGAACTGACAACACAGGTGCTAGCTAAACGCCCAGACACGTGTGTTTCGCCGATCTTGTGCCGCTGTCGGACGCAGCTGCGAGGGGTTTGACTCATCAGTGCGCCCAAGCGTTCCTCGTGTGTTTTCTGGTAACATATCACCAAGACCCATGTACTACTGAGGTTGCTGTCATTTGCAAATAGGGTAGGCGCCCCGCTGGAAATACCTATTGGCCGATTTTCGGTCAGATGTGGTTATGTAGCCCCACCTGAAGTAAACAAACCCCAGCCACCTGTAATACGGGACCGGCGGTAATAGGGGATTTACAGGTGGAGCTGGGGAACCCACAGAAGACGACGGCAAGAAGTTTTCGTGCAAAAGAAAAGCTATTGGGAACGCGAGGTTGTACCCTGAGTGGTTGAGAAATAGTTGATCTAACCCCTAACCCTATCCCTACTCCTTTTCCTAACTTCTAACCATAGCCCCTAAACCTACCCTATGACCCCAACCCCAACAGCATTGTGTCCATCAGGTGGGGCTACATAACCATATCTTACCCAATTGTTCACTAGTTGCAGTGTGTACTCCATCATTTTACCCTCAAATAAAACACGATTATGTGGTTTTGACATACTCCTTATCTGTTCCCCTATTTCGTTCCGGAATTATTTTTTAAACACAATGGCAATTTCATACTTTCTAATCTTCTCGGAAATAAATATGCGAACTCGAAGTAAATACTTCAATACAGACCTCTTCCACTTCTGTTGGTTAGTTAATATGAATATGTGTGAGCTGGAATTCGGCGGCGTCTGGATCTTCAGCCAATACCTGTACTGGCAGTATAGTGAATCATTCAGTACAATGTAATTTTATTTAGTTGACAAGAAGAACTGAATGTTACACCTCCTACTTTTCTCCTGCCAAAAGTTCACAGTTGCTGCCTGCGACAATCAGTTTAAAAATTCGTTCAGTAGGTAGAGTGGGACATCTTGCAACTTTTATTTCAAAAATTTACGTTATTATACTTCCCGAAATTGTGATTTACGAACAAGAAGACCATTTTTTAGCATACTGTGTGATGATGGCTAAGGCCTATTCGTTTCAGCCGCAGGTACGAACGATTCTGTTTTTAGAGTACCGTGAGATCGAAAGTTATTTTGTTGAATATTCCCAAATCACAAGGCAGAGAGGACAGAGTTGGTTGGAAAGACTATAAAACGGCAAGAGAGCGTATGCGTGGATCAACAGGCGGAGACGACAAGTCGTCTCACGCATTTGGCGCCAGCGCTTGGTGCGCTTGCAGCCAATCGGTGAAGGATGCAACGTCGAGCTCTTGCCGAGCTGTTGCCAGACGCAGCACGGCTCAAGTATTCGGTTGACAGAAGACGCTAGACGGACTGGGGACGGTGTGGGTGGGCGGCCACACCGGTCCCCATGAAGGCGGACTGTAATAGTTAGGATAAATTCGCCAAGATTTTAGCTGAATTATTCTCGTGAGAACTTTTCGAAACCCCCTCCTCACCGTGCCAGTGACCAGTCACTGATGCTTGCTGGGAAGAGGGATTAACTATTCCGCTTACTGCAGCAGTTAGTACTCAATAAAAAGATCGGCAATGGTAGGGGGTAGGACCCCACTTAACTGTCGGCCCCCCTACTGTACTTTCGATCTCAGATAAGAGTTCCGGCCAGAATCACTGACCACGTGGTTGTGGGTGTGTGTGTGTCCTGACGCTAACATCAACAATATTGAACCTGTCCCCAGCCGTTCACAAACTCAACCACTTTGCTTGATGCGTAACCCGCTAATGCTGCCTCTGTGGCCGCATCTGATCCGCATTTCACCGTAATCTGTGGAACCCTCGCTTTCGTTAACCGCGCAGATAACTGATGGTCTCGATTGTTTCGCGCTGTGACTGTCTCCCGTCAGGAAGTTTCGTAAAACTAGATAGGGGGGGAGGGGAAGGCAAATTAATGCGACGGTTGACAGAGCAGTCGGCGGACACTCGGGTTTCATGTAGCTGCCTGCCGCCAGCCGGACGGGAAGCATTTTCGCCACAACTGAAGTACTCTCTTTGATTTCCTTCACTTTAGGCGTTCGTGCTTGAACTACTTAAATTCATGGCTGGCATTTGCACCCGGCTAGAGTAAACTAGTCACCCGCATCCAGTGAAGAAGTTAGCCAGTGAGTATGGAACCAGAAAGTGAACTCATTTGAGCTGCCCGAAGGCAACCAAACGAAACACTGCCACAACAAGAAACATCTAGTGTCGTTTATCGGATCTGGTGCAGTTTCGGGCAAAGCAATTGCGTTTCAAAAACTGGAAGACCTCTCTAGACCAGGATCGTCGCACACGGAGCAGTAGTGTGTAGAATTGACGCCAACTCTCAAATCGTGAGATCCGGCCAGACATTTGTAGCGACATTTAAGTCCGTCTTGTTTTAATCAGTTACAATACGCTTTGACACAACTTTGAATAAGACAAAGAACACGCACGTGCACTTTTACCTGCTGACGACTTTGTTCTTATTTACTAGTTTGTAACTGTTGGGATACTGCTATTTTCGTTTCCCGAATAGCCTACTCGCTGTGCCCAACTAGTGGGTTTATCACTTACACTGGTGACCCTGTATCGTTCATAGCTCCTTCTGTTTAATTTCTGTGCATAACTATTCCCATTCGGATTAGTCCTCACTCGATGAGATCATTCATCTATTTTTTCGATGAGATCATTCATCTAGCCCTTATTTGCTATCCACACTGTCTCACCCTTTCATCCAATACGAGCGCTACCCTTCAATCTCACTGTCAACGCGCCAGTCATCTACCCCATTTATCTGACCTCTGACCGACCTCGGCTAATTATTTCCAACGCTTCTACCAGCCAGCCGATAGCCGGCATTCACACCTTTGACCTGCCATCCGTGTGGCTCGGTGACATCGCGTTGTGGCTACGCACTGTAGAGTCCCGTTTCGCCCTCCGTCAGATCACACGAGAGGATACGAAATTTCACTATGTTGTGGCAGCACTCCCAATGGACATCGCCACCGACCTCCGCGACATCATAGATTGTCCCCCTTATACTGCCCTAAAGGAGGCTCTCATTTCCCGCATTTCCCTCTCAACGCAAAAACGTCTCCAACGTTTAATTTCTGAGGAGGACCTCGGTGACAGGAAGCCTACGCAGCCTCTTACGCGTTTGGAGCAGTTGGCAGACGGACAAAAGCTGGATGCCACCATGTTCAAACAACTTTTCCTACAACGGTTGCCTCCTTCTGTGCAAGCCATCCTTGCGCCTAATATTCCTTCATCGACTGTTCAGATGTTCGCGGAGACTGCTGACCGTATACTCGAGTACTACCAGCCTCCTGTTACGGTTAACGTCGCTAGTCGAAGCACAACTGCCCCCACAATCGAGGATGTCGTCAAACGCCTGGATGCCCTCACTCTCGAAGTTTCCCAGCTCCGGGCCACTCGTGTCTATAACCCTCGTAGTCCTGCAATTTCTCGCCGCCCGAGATCTCCCACTCCAAACCAACCTACAGTTGATGGTTTCTGTTGGTATCATCACAATTATGGTTCTAACGCCCATCGCTGCCACTCTCCGTGCAAGCATAAAACACCCGCGTCGGAAAACTCCCCTGCCGACCAGTAAGGGCGACGAACGTGGTCGGCACATCCTCTCCCAGTTGCTTACTCCACATCTATGACAAGACTTCCTGTCGTAATTTTCTCGTGGATACTGGTGCGGAGATCAGTCTTATCCCACCCACCTTGACTGACCGTAAGTAAAGAGTATTGTAGTGACACTTAAGTCCGTTTTGTTTTAATCACTTACAAAACGCTTTGACACAACTTTAAATAAGAACAAAGTCGTCAGCAGGTAAAAGTGCACGTGCGTGTTCTTTGTCTTATTCAAAGTTGTGTCAAAGCTTATTGTAACTGATTAAAACAAAACGGACTTAAATGTCACTACACATTCAAGTTCGATGAGGCCAAAGTGATCGCGCGAGCCGCGAATTGCTTGCGTCATGTTTCAGGGGACCCCAATCTATCAAAAGGTGCAATGACCTTCCCATCCCACATTCGGTGCTGGGACTCAGTTTGTCCAGAGTAATTAGCCACTCGGAGAGCGCGCGGACGGTGAGCCAGGTGTCCGAGGAACCACAGCATCAGCATCCAACACAGGTGGTAAAATTTCAGCGGTTAACGACTTGTATGTTGGCCATCAAGCTATTAGCGCACCAGAGGACAACCATCCTCGATACAGAGGGGAGCCATACGTACGAAGTAGCATAACTGTATCCTGATACTGTATCTAATGATAGGCTCGAGCGTGAGTCCAAACCATCAGGCGAATAAAGCTCCCGTTCCAGCGATCGAATCTACTTCATTTTGACAGATGGGGGCTCACCGGTCAGGTTACGGGCCCCTAGCTCAATGGCAAAGTGTCAAACTCCATGACCAAAGATCCCGCGTTCGAATCTCAAGTCACCCACACTTGGGGTTGGGTATGACTGGCTGACGATGGCTAATAAGCCAGAAATGGCCATTCCGGTCTCCTTTGCCTTTGTAGGCACCATGTCATTCCCTTCTATTACCTCTTTTTCTCAAAAACCGTCTTGCCGACTCCGTCTCTGTCTCGTTGTCGATCCGTGGCACACCGACAGATCCACATTGTACTTTGATCACGGCACTAGCGCGTCTCTTGGCATGCATCCAACATGCATCAAAACATTGTCTGAGTAGTCTATTTTCCTGCTGTCCAGACAACATTTGTGAGTCACACACTGTGCAGGCAGGCATGTGACTAGGGGGTAGTAAGTGGCGATGTGGACAAACAGACACGCCCGCGACTACGAGAGTGGACCGCCACAGCCACATGAAGGTGGGACTCGGCGACATAAACCAACTACAGGACGGAAGTAGGCGTTGCCATGTGTCCAGTAGCCGATATCTAGAGTTCCTGTCGAAAGTGGTGTGGTCGACAAGAAAAAGATTCCCAATCAAAAGTCAGGGAAGACGGTTTGAGTTGGACAACCTTTACTGCCTGAGGAAGTGCGCGTCCCAAGCAAGACGTTGGCTGTGTGTCCGCCTTCGGGGTGTTGTCCGCGTGTCTGCGCCCTTCGGTGTCTCCACGTCGCCAGCCAATCAGAGTGGGGACAGCGTTGATTGGCTTCGAGCACTCGCGCGTCCCAGCAGCGTATCGACACGGAGTGTGAGGCGGACAGGACGGCAGCGTGACAAAGGCGGAGGGCGAGGAGACGCGAACTGCCACACTCCGGTCGAGTTGAGATGGTTATGGACCGCCCGATTAGAATTCGAGGCCGTAGAGATGGGGTCTGTTTGAGAAAGAAAGTTTTCAGCAGTCCGTCCCTACAGTAGTCTTTAAAATCAAGACAAGAACAAAGGTGAAGATTAGTTGTGTAAGTCCATTGAGAAAATAGAGCTCAGGGACTTCTGTAATACGTAAGGGATACTAGTACCAGTTTTACTAGTAAGGCAGATGGACACGACCATTAGCGGAATCTGCAGAAGAAATTCGGAAAACTCGCATTTCTGCCATATCTATGTTTTACTACTCCGACGAGTTACCAAAACAGACCGCGAAATTGGGAAGGTGCGAATCAGGGCGTGTAAACGGGCAGAAAATAGATAATCCAAGGTTAAAGAAGCCCGGATTTGGTAATACAATATGTTACAGTATGTTAACCATAACCCTAAGTCTTGCCGTGGACTTAAGCCCGCATTTGATCATTTTCTTAAGCTTGAGCTGAAGCGTAACCCCTGTATAATGTGCCTACCAAAATGAAGTAAACAAGCATGTTATATTAATAAAAACATGTACCTGCATATCCAATCGTTATCAAAGACAAACCTGAGCCTTCGAACTCGTGCAGGAGTCCAACGTCAGAGGTAGTAGCAGCAACAGTTATAGGGCGTGTAAGCCAGCCATCTATCGACGGCGCAAGGCTAGAGGTGACTGCGCAGGGCTCCATACGCAGGCGCCAGACCGAAAAATCGATTGACTGAGTTCTCATCCGAGGCCCGGGCTTCAATAAATTTTCGGGCTAGATCGCAGTTGGCAGCCCGGACCCGCATTACAGGTGGCTGTGGGGTTTGTTTACTGGGGCTATTTTGTGGGGCTCCATAATCACATCCGAAACATTTGGCTTCCGTTTTACGTTTAAGGTTAGGATTAGGGTACCGGTTAATGGTTTCCGATTTTCCGGTTAGGGTTATGCATTTAGGCTTAGGTTTTCGGGTTATGGTAAGGGTTTGAGCATACGCATAGGTTCCAGTATTACGATTAGGTTTGTCAGTTACGACTATGTCTAAGGGCTACGGGTACGTTTACGATTTCGGCTAGGTTTAGGGTTGGGGTTGCCTTTAGGGTTAACGATTAACGGTAACGGTTGAGGTTGGGGTTAAGATTGGGATTAGGGTTAAGGTCGCCGTCCGCTTCCCATTCCGGGCTACCAACTGCGATCTAGCCAATTTTCGGCCTGATTTGTTTCTAGCCTGGGCGACTGGTTTGGTGGCTGCGATATTAAACTCACGACCCGTTTCGTAGGTGGGGCGGTCACTCGTGATAATGCACAGCCACCTCATGCTCGTGTATGCGAGATCCGAGCTTGCGTCCAGTCTGGCCTGTGTATTTACAGGGCCAGTTTTGACACGGGATGCGATACACTATTTCAGATTGCTCCTCAGACTTTAATCGGTCTTTACTTTTCATGAACTTACTGCGCATGGTGGCTTTGGGGCGGTCTGCAATTTCGAAACACCCTATAACTGTCCCTTGTTCCGTTGCTGCAACTATCTCTGACGATGGACGCCTGCATGAGTTCGAAAGCTCAGAACAATAAACAAAATGTTCCCGTGTCCGACCATCCTTCTTCTTCTTCTTCTTCTTCTTCTTCTTCTTCTTCTTCTTCTTCTTCTTCTTCTTCTTCTTCTTCTTCTTCTTCTTCTTCTTTCTTCTTCTTCTTCTTCTTCTTCTTCTTCTTCTTCTTCTTCTTCGCCTATACAGGCACCGGGAACTGGGACTTTTGCCTTCATTATTGAAAGAGAAATATTTCCTTTCTTTAACCTGACTAATAAAGTAGGACCGCATAACTCTTCTCCCATTTGTCGGTTTCTTGTATGTCCATCAGAAAGACGAACAGTAGGGAGCACTGGGTGTGCGTGTGTGTCACCTAGGCATATTCGAAAAGGACATCAATTTTTGTCAGAAGGTTGGTGTTCTTGAATGGTGTGTGCAGTGCGGGAACTGCGATAGCTGAAGTTCTTTTATTATGAGAACCCGTTCTCACCATAGGAGACCTAACTGAATGAGTTAAACCACCATTAATGGATTTTATGACTGTACCACTTTCCTCGGGCGAAAGCTGTTCTGGATAAGAACGAATGCCTTCTTAGTTAGCTGCAAAAGTATATCAAAACCTGGATTTTTTTAGTCTGCTTCAGTGGACAACTAATGCTGCTCAAACCCGGGCGTAACTTTCACCTGTCAAGCTTTGGGCAAAGTTCCGGCATCTTCCATTGCATAGTCAAAACATGTGTTTGGAGTCTTTAAAAAAGATGACGACAGACGAACGAATGCTGGTGAAAAGTTTTTGAATTCCAGACAGTGGGCGAAGTACTCTTATAATGACCTCAAAACGTGCAGTCCATAAACCAATATTCGAAAGCATGCCATCCCTTGATTGGTTCGTTTAAATTGAGATGGGAGAAACTTATAGAGAACACCGGTGGTATGGCGCCCTACGTACACATGGACGGGACTCACTGCTTTAGATCGGTCTCATTTTTTTTTACTATAATCTAATCAGGAATATTGTGACTCATATTATAATTGATTGTATTCCGATCTGTCATTTATTGAACGTTGTTGGCTTTAGGGTTGTATAGTTGCGGGCACTGCCAGTCGGGTAAGAAGGCACGATCTCTAGAACAAGAACCTTCATTCGACTGGCGTTTCAGATTCTCACCCTAATCCGTCATCACAGGCAGTTATAGATAAGTGTAGGCGTTCACCGGGAGAGGTGTATTGGAGGTCTGACGTTTCGAGTAGTCGTTTCTTCTACCCAGCTTCGGAGACTGAGGAGTCATGCACACAGCTTTCCAATGACTTACTTGTTTGTTCTGTACTTGTTTCTACAAGCGACACAATAAAAATCTCTGATGAAAAAGAGTTGATGCATTAAGCAGGACTGTCATTTCTGTCATAACGACAAGTTATTGGGCCCATGTATAAACGTCCCGTTCAAATTCGGATGGCTCGGCCAGAAAAGGACGTGTGTTACGTTTATTGTGATAAGGTTATCATGAGGACCATGAAATATTTTTAGGCCAATATGCCCATCCCTGATGTATACAGGGCAAGAAACAATTTCGTCCGTAAATCGGGCTACTAGGCATAGTTGCTGTCGTTTGAACCAAGTAAACTGTCATATTGGGAGCCTCATTGGTAAGATGGACGTGATGGCAAACATAATACCGGAAGAGGCAACTTTGCTGCAGAAATGACAATATGCAGCATCGTAGACATTAATGTTTTTATACCGGCGTCAATATAAATTGCTGCTTTTACTGTTAACTCTGAGTTCAAAATTCCCACGTTAATATTCACAAAATAGAAAACGCCTGTTC